TGTTTTGCTTGTTTGAACCAACAACATCTCAAGCAAAACTGAAGCATGCATGGCAAATCTCTTTTTCAACTTAAGAGACCCGCTTTGACCCCAGTCAGTGGATAAGGATGAAATAGAAAACCAGCAACTGTTTATTATGTGGGCTTTCATATCCTCTTTGACATGTTAACAATATCTGTAAACCCATGGTCACCTCATTTTTGTAAGTAGAGCAAACCAAATCCAGGTTACCAACTGAACTTTTCCCATTGAAATCAACATAGAGCTAAGTCATTAATGACATATTCCATTGATTTCAATGGAACCAAAGCCCAACAATCTGGAGACACTCCGATACTTACAGCTTTAACCATCATTCTTGTTATCCAAGGGATGATTAATGGAGATCTTCATCTCTTGTCTTTAAGGTTGGCATCCTAGAGGTATGAATCAGCCATCTGATCCTGACATTAAACATTGATTGACAATGATTTGGAAATCTTTCAGTGCAAGATCACTTCTGACCAGTTTCTTCATTGTCTTTCAGATGATTAATTTCTTAGCCAATGATAGTTATCGAATATTTGAAGCTGCCTTGTTCGGCCCAATGCCCATGACTACACCTCTGTTGATTGTTGTTTGCACCATCTATTCTTGCATTCTCCTTGGTCCCACAGCACTCATAGGAACATTCATTTATGTTATGTTCATACCCTTACAGGTAAAATGTTATCCTTTTCTAAAAAATCATATATATTTATACCAGAAGATCTCTCTTACTCTCTCTCTCTCTTTGTTATTAAAATAAGGGATTCCCTCCCCCCGACCCCCATTTTAAGAAAGTAAGTTATTGGCAACCTGGACATGCGATTAAATATGGAGAGTGGGGAGTATAGAGGATATTCTAGTCTGTTCCCACTCTGTCTTGGTTTTAATGCTTTTTCTTCCTCCTATAGATCTCACTGCAGGTTACTTCCTATCGAGATTTTTCTAAATCCCTTGTACTTCTGCAAACTTTATAGTCCAAATTTGTTGATACCTCCCTCTTCCAATATGTGAGCAATGCTGTTGTGAATATTTAAGCAATAACACTCACAGCCTGAATTTGAGCAACAGAGGGGATAGCTATGATTAGGAAGACTGTTTTTTTAAACATGGGTTTAGCATTCATCCCTGCATGAAGTCTGTGCTGTTTATGACATTTTGCCCATTCCCTACAGATGCTCATGGCCAAATTAACTTCTGTTTTCCGAAGAACGGCTCTTTTGATGACTGACAAACGTGTGCGAATAATGAGTGAGATTTTGACGTGCATTAAGCTGATCAAAATGTATGCCTGGGAAAAATCATTTGCAAACGTTATCACAGGTATCTGGAGTGGGAAGAAGAATTGTTCTTTCATATTTCAATGGAATGCTTTAACTAGATCATTCTCTACCCAATCTATGATTCACCTTTAATTGAAGATGCTAGGGTATAATTTGCAAAATTATATACCGTTGTCTAGAAAGATGTATGATTTATCACTTTGCTCCACATCATAATAGGATGATGTTTTTTACCCTTTGCAGGCATCAGGAAAGCAGAAAGAAAAACACTGGAAAAAGCAGGCTATGTCCAGAGTGTGAATTCTGCTCTTACCCCAGTTGTTTCCACGCTGGCAATTGTTATGCTATTTTCCTTCCATACCCTCTTAAAGCATGAACTAACAGCTGCTGTCGTAAGATGATATTTCTGTTTCTTAGTTGCCCCATTGTCTTTGTCATAGCCATCAATTCCTAATCAAGATGATGCCAAAATGACAGAATCAGCGTCAGCATGCAAGCTCCATCCTTTGTTGCTTGTATCGCCATAACGGCATGCAAGTATGTAAGTGGCCTATGTGCTTTAAAATACTTCAAGCTATTGTCCAGCTTCCAGAGGCAAGAGGCACAATGGCAGCAGCTTCTTCTTTTCTTCTCCAGACCTTTGATCCACCCACCTTTGGTGGTGAGCTAAATTTTTGGTGCACCAGGCAGCAGTTAGAAATGCAGGATGGATCAAAGGACTTAGCTGAGATCCAGGGATGACTGCCTTTTCACCAGAGAAATATCATAGTCAGAGTCCACACTGGAATATGGGAATATGGGAATACTGTAATGGTATGTGGGAATGACCTTGGGAGACAGGAGGCCATTCCTAAAACTCCAACCAGGATCTTCCACCTCTCTTAGGAAGAGAGTAGGAGACCCTGCTTGGAGTTTTGGGAATCGTTCCCACATACTGTTACACATACAGACAAGTAGTCTGTAAAAGAGATAATGTCTCAGTTGTTTTGCAAATTCCAGATGACTTCTGAGACTACTTTAAGACTGAATAGCTGGCAATATGGAGAGTCATTGCCCAACACATTTAGGGGCATCAGGTTGGGTTAGTCTATTACACCAAAATAGTAAATAGAAAGCCGGGGCTTGAAAGTTAGAAACCCTTGAAAGACATGCCTCACTTGCATGTACCCCCCTCCCCCATTTGATACTAAGAATCCTTTAAGTCCTTCTCTTTTACAGGCCTTCAGTGTGATTTCAGTATTTAATATAATGAGGTTTTCAATTGCCATTTTGCCATTTGCGGTGAAATCAGCTGCAGAAGCCAGTGTCTCCTTAAAAAGACTGAAGGTAGAAATTAGTTTTGGGGGGGGGGGGAATCCATTGCAGATATTTTGGGCTTATTAACCAAATGCATAAAAAAGAATATCCTGTGTTAGGTACAATACAACCAGATTCCTATATTACGTCGTATCTGTTTTACTGTCAATGTCCCCTAATATATTATTGTAAAATTATATTATTATTATACACGACATGAAATCACAGCTGGCAGTTCTTTAGCTGGTGTTGGTCTTCATTCGCATCGAGTTCTTCCCAAGAATTAGGATGTCCTAAAGTATCAGCGTAGTATACTGTATGTATGGATCCAAGCAATGTAACCTTCTGTAATTGACAGATGGAAATGTTGTCAATGCGCATATTTTCTAAGTGGCATCCAAGGTTTTTTGGAATCGCACCCAGTGTGACGATAACCACTGGGACCACCACTGCCAGTTTATGCCGTAACTTTTCTACTTCAATTTTCAGATCTTGATACTTTATGATCTTCTCCAGTTCTTTTTCTTCTATTCTGCTATCCCCTGGTATTGTCACATCAACTATCCACACTTTCTTCTTCTCAACCACAGTTATATCTGGTGTGTTATGCACCAAGGCTTTATCAGCTTGTATTCAGAAATTCCACAATATTTTAACCTGCTCATTTTCAACTACATTTTCAACTATATGTTCCCACCAATTTTTCATTACTTGCAAATGATCATTTTTACAGATGTTCCAGTGAATCATTTTGGTGACTGTGTACTGTCATTGTTTATAGTCAGTTTGTGCGATCTTGCACGAGCTGAGTATATGATCTATTGTTTCTTCTGCTTCTTTGCACAATTTACACTTTGAATCATTTGATGGTATTTCAATTCTGACCTTGATTGCATTTGTTCGAATAGCTTGCTCCTGAGCAGCCAAAATCAAGCCTTCAGTTTCTTTTTTTAATGTTCCAGTTGTAAGCCATTGCCAGGTTTTATCTTTATCCACTTTCCCCTCAGTCTTTTGTAGAAATCATCCATGCATTATATTATTACGGTTAGTCACACAGTCAACCATATGTTTAGACTGGATGTGGCATTTTTGTCTACCTATCAAGTACTTCCCAAGGACCTGGGATAGGCAGATGTTGTTTAATAATATTAAACGTATCGTCGTAGGATGTAAGCTGTTCCAAGTAAAGCTGCCTTTTGCAATTGACTTAGGGTGATTTTGTCAATGCTGATGGTGTTCAAGTGGTCCTCCAGATGTTTTGGGATTGCACCCAAGGTGCCTATTACTTTTGTTACTCTTTGCTTTCTTTTGCCATAGTCGTTCTACTTCTATTTGCAGGTCTTCATATTTTATGATTTTCTCCAGTTCTTTCTCTTCTATTCTGCTGTCTCCAGGTATTGCAATGTCCACTATCCAGATTTTTTTGTCTTTCATATCAACGATTTTTAAGTCTGGGGTGTTGTGTAGCAGATGCTTGTTTGTTTGAATTCTAAAGTCCCAGAGCAGTTTAGCTTCTTCATTTTCTATGACATTGTCTGTTTTATGGTCCCACCAGTTCTTGCTTGCAAGCAACTGGTATTTCTTGCAGATATTCCAATGCACCATTTTTGCTACTTTGTCATGCCATTGTTTGTAATCAGTCTGTGTGACCTTCTTGCAGCAGCTAACTAGGTGATCTGCATCATCATCATCATCATCATCATCATCATCATCAT